GAACCCTATCATAGCCTTAAAAAAAAGCTCAGTCTAGGAGGATGAGGGCACGTGGAGCAGAGCTGAAAATTGTCCCAGCCAAGACCAACCTTGTCCAGCCAGCCCCAGTCAATCCCTCAGCTGGCCACAGATATATGAACAAGCCCAAAGACAAGATTTGCCAAATCTGGTCCAGTAGAACTGCCTTGTTGACCTGCAAACACATGAGAAGTAGTAAATGGTGGTTGTTTTCAACAACTAAATTTTGAGATGATTTGTTATGCACAGTAGCTAATACAAACTCTAACCTCCCTCTCTCCATTTTCAGAGGAAAAAGTATACTTTCTTTTTTTTTAAGGTCAATTCTTCTATTTGTTCTTTATCCCATTCCTGCCGCTATGCTTTCAGATCTCATCCCTTCTGGTTATATCTATCTATATTGCTCTCTTTTCACCTTTAGTCCTAATTATATATATATATATATATATATATATATATATATATATATATATATATATATATATATATATATAAACAAGTTTAAATCTCTCAAATTAAAATAAAACAAACATACACAAAAAAATAAACCTGTCTTCAGCAAGTTACTGACCTCTTCTGTCATTCCTTCTATTTATATTTCTTTTTTTTTTTTTTTAGATTTTTTTTATTGGGGAATTGGGAGGATGGGAACAGTGCTGGGGAATTGGGGGAAGGGGAACAAACAAGTTGCTGTCGTTTTGTTCTTCAGTCTAGTTGTGGAGGATGTTGCTTCACTGGCCCAAGTTGGCACCATCATTGCGCTCTTCCCGGACGAGGCAGATCAGTCGCCGGCTTCTGGACAGCCGCTCACTGCGGCTGCTGGCCGCTCACGCTGGCTGCTGGCCGCTCACGCTGGCTGCTGGCTACATACGGTAGCCCATGGCAACCCACTGCCACAGGGACTGCAGCCTACGCCGTCGCCCATTTATATTTCTTGAAAGAATAGTCTATACTTGCATATTTATTTGGGTTCTCCAGAGAAACAGAACCAACAGGGTGTGACATTATCTATCATCTATCTATCTATCTATCTATCTATCTATTTGTCATCTATCTATCTTCTATCTATTTATATTTTAAGGAATTGGCCTATGCACTCTTGAAGGCTTGGTGAGTCCAAAATCTGATGGAGTAGGCTAGCAGGCTGAAGACTCAGGTAATCGTTGCGGTTCAAGTTCAAGGCAATCTGCTTGCAGAATCCCTTCTTGCTTATGGGAGGTCAGGCTATTAAGGCCTTCAGCTGATTGCACGAGGCCTGCCCACAATATGTTAGGTAATCTGCTTTACTAAAAGTCCACTATATGTTAAGCTGTTAAAAGCCCACTATGTAAATGTGAATTTGATTCCAAAAATGCCTGCAAATTAACCAACATAAGTTGCTGCAGTATCCATTTTTTATTCTCATTTACTCTTTTCAGTTGTCATCTTATTAATATACCCAAGGCATTTGATACTGCCAGCTCTTCTTGTTAGTCCTTTTACTTTATTTATAGCCCTCTCTGCTAGATTGCTTCCTATCTCTCTGACTGCTGCTTTTCAGTTTTCTTTCTGGCATCTCTTCCTTTGCCTGCTTCTTAAATGATCCTTAGGGTTGTGTTTCTCAGACTTATCTGGATCCTCTCATGTACTAGTGGTTTTAACTACCAAATCTATATCTTCCACTTAGTCCTCTATTATGAGTTTCATACATTAATTTATTCATTTAAGGTATTAGAGAGACATCTATTTTATTGAATATTAAACACTATAAGAGTTTGTGGTAACCTCTAAAATGGCTCCCAAGATCCCTGGTTCCTGTTACTCATACCCTTGTTTTACTCCTCCCCTGGAGTGTGAGCTTCTAATGAACAGAATACAGTAAAAGTGATGAGATGCCACTTATAAGATTAGGTTGCAAAAGGACTCTGGCTTTTGTCTTGTTCACTCTCTCTTATCCTTTCTTGGTGCTGTCTCCTTCTCTCTTTCTTAGAGTCCTTAGTCTGGGGGAAGCAAGCTGAGATATTGTGTGAGAAGCCTTACAGCACGTTTCCTGTGGCAAGGAACTCACGTCTCCAGGCAACAGCCAGTAAGGACCTGAAGCCTGCGTGACACCCATCACTTGAGTGAGTTTGGAAGTACATCTTTCCCCGGTTGAGTCCTGAATCAACTCTAGCTCTGGTAGATACCTTTATTGCAGGCTTGTAAAGACCTCGAGTCAGAGCAACTCAGCTAAGTTGCACCTGGATTTCTGACCCCCACAAATCATGAGAAAATAGATATTTAGGCTTTTAAGTTGTTAAATTTGGATAATTTGTTTTATAGCAATAGATAACTAAAACAGGGTTACACAGGCTCCAAAGCCAAATAATAAATAGTCCCTGAACTCAATGATCTTCCAGACTATTAGGGGCGATAGAAAAATGGCTATGATCACAGTACAATACAACAGGTGTTATAGAGACATACATAGCAAGAGATAGAAGCACAGAGAGAAGAGAATTTCAATCATATTTGAAGGCTGAAGGATCCACTCAGTAGATTTTATTTTGTCATTGAAAATTAGGAGAAAAGATCATGGGATACTTGAGGAGAAAAGTGAATATTTAGAACATCTACTGGAAAAAAAATAGTTGAAGGATTTGGAAAAGAGACAATGGTATCTAGGCAGTGTGGATTGGGTTTGGAAATAATAGACTTATAGGCTCTTCAGTTAAAGTTGGAGTTTATTTTTTAAATACTCTTAGCGTTAAAGTTGGAGTTTATTTTTTAAACACTCTTAGCAATATGGATATAGTAGAGAAGTTGATGGTTGAATTTTAGATTTCAGAGAAGATAGAAAGGCAAAGGGTCAAGAAAGAAAAAAAAGAGCTGAGATGAACAGCCAGACAATTCTTACAATTCTAGCTCATGGAATTTAGGTTGAATAGGGAAAGAAAGACAATCAAAGCTGCTGAGAGTCTGGGGGAAATGTTGCCGATTCTGATCTAGTAATCACTAGGGCTAAAGGAGTCAATGCTATGTTTGGCTTAAGGTCAATGCCTTATTTGGAGGAGACTTCCAATCAAGGGTGGGAAAGGAATGGTTACCCAGGAAGAAATCATAGTACCATGAAAAGAGTGAATGGATGCTTTAAAACAGAGATTGCTGGTTCCCTACAATAGTCTCAATTTCTTCCAGAGAACACCCTTAATTTTTAGGGGGTGGAATAACAACTGTATTTCCTAGTCTCTTGTAGCTAGGGATGGCCATGTAACTAATGAGCTGATCAAAGGGATGTGAACAGAAGTGGTGTGTGCAACTTTTGAACTGTGCCCTTCAAGGGAAGGAGTTATCGTTCCATTTCCCTTTTACTCTTTTTCTGCCAGGAATGGTTGTGAGCCAACTTGGACCATGAGGAAGAGACTACATCCTACAGAGGGCAGAACAACAGAAGGAGCCCGTAATCCCTGGATGATCTCATAGAGCTTTTATGGTTCTACATAATGGATAATTAAACTACATTTTTAAAGGCACTATTAATGTAGTTCTCTGTTATAAATAGATGGACCTATATTTCAACCAATTCAGATGCCCAGTAAAAAGGATAAACTGGGAATATATGTGATCTTAGCATAAGACAGAAAGTAGTAAGCAATAAATAGAGGCACAGGTAAAAATTAAGGATACTGAGAAGAATCACCTCAAGCTAAGCTGGGCGCTTTTAAAAGGTTAAAGTTTCTGATCAGTGACAGACTGCAGACTATCCATAGGGGGTGGAGTGCAAGCCAGGGAAATGTGCCCACACAGCTAGTTCTTCTATCAGTGGCTCTATAAAGCAATGGTGATGGTAGCATGGTAGTGACAATTGGCCCATGTATCAAACACATCCAAGGAACATTGGGATCTTGGTATACTTACTTAAATTAGTCATGGTTTGGGCTGATGCTTCTTGAAAATAATCACAGAAATTTAAAAATTTAGGAGTGGAAGAAGTCCTAGTGACTAGAAAAAACTTCTGCTCCAATGCACTTTTAAAAATAATAATAATTCCAGAGATGCCAAGTAAGTTTTGCAGGTAGGCATTGGAACCGAAGCCTCCTAGGCCAGTGAAGGTTGTGGGTTTGTACTTCATTTGTACAGAATCCCTATGACAATTTTTTTCCTTCTCCAGCAAACTTACAACCTCAGGTTGCTATTTGCTCTTACTTTTCCATGAACATACCTTGGCACAGCACTCTTTAGCTTTCAGAATATTTTCCCTTGTTTTCTCATTTGATCCTGACAATAATCCTGTGCAATGTGAGTGGAGGGTTAGTAACATGCCAATTTTACTGATAAGTAAATTGAAGCGGAACGTTTTCAAGTGACTTTCTCATGACAAAGCGCTAGTACTTGGCTGAGATTATTGAGTATAATGCTCGTACCAATCATCCACTTATTTTCCTGTCATTTTTCCAGCCTTTCTGATTATTGGGGAAAAAATATTGTGTTGGCTTATGATGAAATTGTAGTAAACTTCAGATTTACTAGTCACATTTCCAGTGCTCAGTGGTCACACGTGGCCAGTGGCCGGCTACTCTATTGGACAGTGCTGATATAGACCATTTCGATCATGTCAGAAAGTTCTGTTAGACAGCCTAGAGATTTATGAGAGATACCTATCTTCTACCAATCCTCATCCTTGCCCACTGTGTCTAATCCAAGCTTGGTAGAGGCTGGTCCCCAAGCTCTTCCACTTCCTAGAGGAGATTTTAAATCTGGTGATGCCAACAGCAATCGTTTGGCCTACTTGTGCTAAGAAGGTGATGTGGTAATAAAAGGCCCAGATTCTTCCACAAAAGTCAGTACAGCAAGTGGGCGGTGGAAAGGCAGCCGAAAATCAGACGCGGAGGTGCAGAGAGGCAAAGGGGCGGGGCTGAGCGCCGGCGGCTCCGGGCGGGTGCTGTCACGAGGCTGGAGGCGGGGCCGTGTGCGGCTGGGCGGGGCCGCGAGATGCGGGCCGGGGAGGCGGAGGAGCGGGGCGCCGGGCGCGCCAGCCCGGCCGTGCGTGCTCACGTGACAGGTCCGCGAGGCTTCGCTCGCGCAGTCTTCTGGGCGAGCGAAGATGGCGGCCGAGAGGGAACCTCCTCCGCTGGGGGACGGGAAGCCCACCGACTTTGAGGAGCACGAGGACGGAGAGGACCTGTTCACCAGCACAGTCTCCACCCTAGAGGTGAGACCGCGTCACCGTGGGTGCTGCGCTCCGCCGCGCGTCTCACCTTTGGGTGCCTTTTCCTTGCCCCAACCTGTCCCTCCCCACCCCCGGGTTTGCAAGGATCTGGTCGGGGGACACCTGTGACGCGGGCACCACCTCGGGTACCTGTCAGTGGGCTGGAGTTGGCGTGCGCGGCTAGGCCTCCTCAGATCAGCCTACGGGCGGGGGTCTGACCTAATTCCCAGAGGGGCATGGACCGGACGGAACGTCGCAGCTCTCTTTCCCCGCTCAGCTGGACTTCCTCGGTGTCACTTGCATTTATTTCTTTTTCCAGACCAGAGAAGGTTTTGCCCTGGGTCCCAGTAAACTTGACCGCTCTCCCCGGCGACCTCCGCAGCACCTTTGGAGAGTTGCTTGCCTTTCCCTTCCCAAGGGAGGGTGTGCCCCTGAAAAGGGGAGAGCAATGAAGTGAGCTCTGAATGACCCAAGCTCTGTAGGGAGCGTGTGGAGGCACTTTCCCCAGCGATGGCCCTTCTTGGACTGCTGGTTCCCCTTGAAGGTGGTTCTTCTGTTTCGGACCACTAAATGGGTAAATGCATTTGACCGGTTTTGACTTCCTTAGTTCCTAGACTTTTTAAGGATCGTAGTGTTTGTAAAATATGAAGTTGAAGGGAAGGAGTAGTCCAGGAAACGGGGTTTTTTTTTGTTTTAAGTTACCAGGGGAGAAATAAAAACAGGTCCTCACTCCCATTTCCTCTATTCTCGCATGGTCAGCGATCTCTGAAACTGAGTGTTCCTGTTTTTGTCAAAGGAAACACCCTCCATGAGCTTAACTGTATTGGGTGTCCTACATCCAGTTCATGTTTGAATTGCTTTGCATTTGAGGAGAGCACACACACCCCATATCCCAATTTTAAGTATTTGTATTAAAATGTAAGCAGATTTTCCAGAGGATTGCTTATCTCAGGCTTACTTCCTTATAAACTTTTTTTGGGGGGTTGAGGAGAGGGGTTGTAAGCTTTCTTGGGTTTTTCACCTATGCACCAAATAAATTGAAAATTACTGTAAAATATCTATTATCTGAAATTCAGTTACCTGAAACTCAGAACTTTGGAGAATGTTTTCATCATTGACCGACCACATTCTGCTAATTGTATATGCAGGTGCTGGGCCAACCCGTAACTTCCCCTCAGATTATATGCTACTTGGGACTAAAAATAATGCCCTGATCATCTTTGTCTTCCTCACAAAATCTGGAACATTTGCAGTTAGTAAATGTTTGCTGGATTGTCAAAAACAGCATCTCCTAAGAATTAGTAAAAATGATCTTGCATAACAAATTATACTTTGGGGGGGTTTGTATCCTTTAAGCCCTTTATACATACCATACAGCTAATTTAACAAATATTGAAAGGTAATGTCTATGTTGGATCCTAAGACCTGTATTCCCTTTGAAGGCAACAAAGGTTTTCCTCTAGCAAGGTTCAGAACAAAGTTGACTTACGTTATAAACTACTAGATTACTGTGAACACTAAGCATGCTGTTTGACATCTTTTAGATTTGAGTAAAAGGAACTATAATCTGTTTCTATTTGGATGGGACTCTTTTAATAAAGTAGTTGACTTTTTTTCAGTAAAAGTCCACAGAAGTTTTGGGTATGAAAAAATTTCTTCTTGGCTAGTACACTGCGAAAGTTGTAAATAAAGTTGGTTTTGATTGTTCATCAAAACCCCTTATTTCATATACTGATTCAGGTTATTAATTTTAAGAAGGTATAACTTTGCGATTTATAAATTCAGATTTTTTATTTTTTAGTTTTTTGCTTTTCAAACTCTTTGGGGAAGGATATATAAGCAGTATTTCTTAGTACACCAAAACATTGCTAAAGGAATATTCTTTCAGTACTCTTCTTTTAAACAGTCCTTAATCATACATCAGTGTACAGGAGAAACCATAGGATACTTGTTTAAAATGCAGATGCTTTTGCCTCACTGGTATATGCATATTTAATAAGTGCTCTAGGTCAGTGCTTTTCAAACTTTATACATAAGTTACCTAGGGATCTTATTAAAGTGCAAATTCTTATTCTGGGATAAGCCCAGTATTCTGCATTTTTAATCAGCTCTCCTCATGACATTGCTTCGGGTTCATAGACAACAATGAGTTACAAAACACCGCGTGATTCTGATCCAGATCATCTGCTTTGAACAGTTATTACCTAAGCTGTAAATTGAAAGTAAGACATAAATTAATGTCTTTAAATTTAAAAAAAAGTAAATCATAGTTTTTAAAAATACATTATTCATGTAGAAACTTTTCTTTGAGGGTATTTGGAGGAAAAAAAATCAATTGAAATTCATATAAGTGAAAATCAAATTATAGACAGCTTTAATTAATATAATTGTTAAGCTTGTAATGATTATACAACCTAGTGTATATGAACCCTATGAATATATTTTAACCCAATTAAACTTCTTTCCTTTCAAACTTAAAAAAAGTCACATAAAGCTATATTCACTAAATAAAGCATATTTAAAACCCCTACTGTATGTTTTTGTTGTCATTATGGAACAAAGTGGTGGGAGGCTGGCATAGGTGGCAGGGAAGGGAATGAGAAGGGGATAAAAAAACTGGCAAAAGCATGTAGTTTTTTTGTATCTGAGAGGCAATGCTTTAAACTGTTTTAGGAGTACTGCTTTTTCCTTAAGTGATACTCCCCTAAGCTTAAAAGGTGCCCTAAAACAATGTGGAGTAGTAAGACAGCACCTTAAAAAAAATACACTCAGGAAATTTTTATTTTATGTCTTTTTTGTTTTTAACAAAGTTTATTGAGATATAATTTACATACCATACAATTCACCCATTTAATGTGAAAATTTTAATGGATTTTCATATATTAACAGATATGTGCCACCGTTCCTTCAGTCAGTTTTAGAACATTTTCATGACCTCAAAAAAAAATCCCTAGCAAGCAAACCCATATCCTTTAACTATTACCTTCTGCCCCATTCCCCAAACCCTTCTGCTCCCAACCTTAAGCCACCACTAATTTACTTTCTGTCTCCATAGTCTTCCCTATGCTAGACTTCATGTGAATGAAATCATAATATGTGGTCTTTTGTGATTGGCTTGTTTCACTGAGTATAATATTTTCAAAATCTACTTTATTCCTTTTTATGCCTGAATAATACTCCATTATATGGCTAATACCACATTTTGTTTATCCATTTGTTAGTTGATGGACATTTGGGTTGTTTTCCATGTTTGGCTATTACGAATATGCTGCAGTAAACTTTGTGTACAAGTAGAATTACTGGGTATAATGGTAACACTACATTTAATCATTGGAAGAATTGCCAGAGTGGTTTATCAAAGTGGCCACATCATTTTACATTCCTACCATCCGAGTGTGAGGGTACCAGTTTCTCCTCATTCTCACTACACTTGTTATTATCTGAATTTTTATTCGATACATCCTAATGAGTGAAGTGGTTTCTTAGTGTGGTTTTGGTTGTGTTTTCCTGATGGCTAATAACGTACACCTTTTAATGTGCTTATTGGCCCTTTGTATATCTTCTTTGGAGAAATTTCTATACAGATACTTTGCTAATTTTTAACTTGTGTTTCTTATTGAGTTGTAAAAACTATATCTTCTAGACACAAGTTTCTAACAGATACATGATTTGCAAATATTTTCTTCCATTCTGTGGATTGTTTTTTTCATGTTCTTGATGTCCTTTGAAGGACAAATTTAAAAAAAGAAAGTTGATGAAGTCCAACTTACCTATTTTTTTATTTTGTTGTTCATTCTTTCAGTGTCCTATATAAGAATCTCCTGCCAAATCCAAGGTTAAAAAGGTTTACATCTATGTTTTCTTCTAAGTGTTGTATAGCTTTGGCTCCTACGTTTAGGTCTTTAATCTGTTTTGAGTTAATTTTTGTATACTGTATGAGGTAAAGGGTCCAACTTCATTTTTTTGCATGTGGCAATCGAGTTGTCCTAGCACAATTTGTTGAAAAGACTCTCTTCGCCATTGAATGGTCTTGGCACTCTTGTCCAAAATCAGTTGACTATAGATGTTTACACCTGGTTCTCATACTAACTTCAAATTTTAGAGTCACCTGAGGTTAAGATGAGGACCACAGCTCTGTTTCCCAGCACAGTTACATGATAATTTATAGAGCATTTAAAGTGAAATTTTCAGATTGGAGACTGACAGGTCTTACAATTCTTTTCCCATCATGTAACCCCATGCTGTAAGTGCTCAGAAGATACCCTACTTGGTTGACTTCAGTAAACATTTGAGTATTTACTTTCTGCCATACTGTCTAGATGATAATGGAAGTGCAAATATCAGCAAGATACTGCAAGTCGTTAAGGACAGAAAATCTTCAGGGAAGAAAAAAGAGGTGTGCAGAAAACTCTGATATAGACAGACTGTGATTATATGACCTGGAAACACCATTTTTCACTGAAAGTACCAGTGAAATGGGAGATTCTAATTCTTATGTGTCAACGTTTCTGACACATTGTAGATGACCAGTACATGTTTCTGTTGGCTGGGAAACACTCAGTGAGGATGTAATATTTAAGAGAGGGTGGAGGGCCAGCTAAGTGGCATGTTGGTAAAGAGCTGACTTGGGACGCCAGAGGGCCCCAGTTCGGAGTCCACGTTTGAGGGCCAGTGACACTGCCCTCTACAGCTAAGATGCTGAACAACAGCTCAACCTGAAGCTGGGCTGCCCTGAGTCGCCGGCGGCTAGGCTGCAGCCCCTGCTGCAGTGGGTTGCCATGGGCTACCGTGTGTAGCCAGCAGCCAGCGTGAGCAGCCCTCAAGCCGCTGTGAGCGGCCGTCCAGAAGCCGGTGACTGATCTGCCTTGCCTGGGAAGAACACAATGATGGTGCCAACTTGGGCCAGTGAAGCAACGTCCTCCACAACTAAACTGAAGAACAAAAGGACAGCAAATTGTCTTGTTCCCCTTCCCCCAATTCCCCAACGCTGTTCCCATCCCCCA